ATTAATATATCAATAAAATGAAGAAGATCAAGTATATAACAAGAAAGGGATTATCGTTCTCAGATAGGACATGGATCGCTTCAAATTTAATTGCTACTCAGCATGCCGTCCGTCATTTGATATCCAATAATTTCATAGATATTAAAGGTTACCAGTCCCTCACCTAGTAATTAAGCTTGTTTTAACGAATATTCAAAGCTAACCGATTTCAAATTAAATTACGATTTGACGCTTGATAGGCTTATTTTTCCAAATCATCTTAAATCTAAAAAAATAGAAATTACGTATTAAAGTTATGAAGAAATCTTTGTAAATCATATAATTTCCATTTTTTTAACAATATAGATTAAAAGTAAGCTCTTCACTTGTACATATTATGAGTCAAATATAATTTTCGGTTGACTATTTCAAGAGTCCTCGTCCCGCAAAATCTTTCCTTTATTTTCTTCAAATTCTGAAAGATGTACGTAATCTTTTTACTATCAAAATTCTAAAATCATTGATATTTCTTGAGAACTAGTAAACGCAAGCGTCCATTACCACCTCGATGATCCTGAAGCCAAAGCATCGACAAACACTCGTAAACGAGGTACATACGCCGGAGGTGGGACCTTAGAGCGAAGTGTTAGGTCGGTCGGTCGGTCGGTCGGTTGAAGGGAAGGGTGGAAAGGGGGATCGGGCCAGGTTGGAAACTACGTGCGGCCGGTGATTACGTCGATCGTCGAAAGAACAAACTCCGGATTGGATTAAGCACACGGTGCTGCACGGCGCGGCACCTTTCCCATTTACCGGCCGTGGCCGACGTCGCCCCGCCACGGTTTACCATAAAGTTTACAACTTCTGTCAAGCTCCGCGCCCACTGTAACCGTACTAGAATGACGACAGACCGACCCTTCTGGTCCTCGGCGTCCCTCCACGATCAGCTTCGCACTCGCGCCCACGCTCGTCCGCCCACACACGGGCATCGCAAAACGAGTGCACCGGCCGAGTTAACGACTACGTTCTCATTGTGCGCGCGAAAACACTACGATCATTGAGTACGAGGGAAACTTTAGTCTGAGAGATAAGCAGCCCATAATTTCAAAACTCGCTGCAGTTTCCGTCCATGCACCGTAAGTTTAGCATTTTTAGAGCTTGTCCCAAGATATTTTCGTTCTATTCTCTTTACGTTAGGAGATAAATGTTTCAATAAAAATATAAATTAATTTTTAATGTTTGTAAGAATGACGACAGACCGACCCTTCTGGTCCTCGGCGTCCCTCCACGATCAGCTTCGCACTCGCGCCCACGCTCGTCCGCCCACACACGGGCATCGCAAAACGAGTGCACCGGCCGAGTTAACGACTACGTTCTCATTGTGCGCGCGAAAACACTACGATCATTGAGTACGAGGGAAACTTTAGTCTGAGAGATAAGCAGCCCATAATTTCAAAACTCGCTGCAGTTTCCGTCCATGCACCGTAAGTTTAGCATTTTTAGAGCTTGTCCCAAGATATTTTCGTTCTATTCTCTTTACGTTAGGAGATAAATGTTTCAATAAAAATATAAATTAATTTTTAATGTTTGTAAGAAATGAAAAGAGTTTTATTAAATTTTACATTACGTGAATATATATTTAAGAGACACATATTCTTAATAAAAACTTAAATTTTTAGATTTTATCTCAAAAAAAAATTATCGATTCTGTCTCAATATTTATCTCAATTTTATAGTTTCAATTGTTGTATGTAGCAATTTTGTGTGTAAAATATCATAATATAAGCAATCGGTCGAAACATAATTTAAATTATCGTTATCGATTAGAATAACCATCTAGAAATTAATAAATCACTATAAGACTTATACGTTAGTTGCTTTTCTGAATTTCCCGAAATTACGTTTATCTCTTTAAAATGTTCTTTAACGCTTATCAATTTCAATGTACTCTGTTTCAAGCTTATAACTTTCAATTTACATAAAGGTAGGTTACTAATAAGCCAGCGAAACTAAATACTAGAATATTTTATATCTCCATAGAAAAGAAATTCTATCAATATCGCATAAATCATCTATAATTCATGTATTAAATCGTAATTTTTTTATTATATATTATATTATTTTTGTATCTTCTCTCTAATATTAAATACAAGCTGATACGTGAATACAAATGGACGCGGCGTCATACCCTTCGATGCAAATTACATCGGCTGTCCCTCCCGTATATTTCAGGGGTGCGACTATCTACGAGGGTCGAGCCACCCTTTCCTTAATTCGCAACTAAGATGGCAGCCGACTCGCCAGCCATTTAGTTTCCCCAGCGATCCCGCAGGACTTCTTGCTCGTTGCTCGTAAGCTCCTGTCTATGTGTCGGATCGTGTCGGTGGATAGAGAGAGGGCGACGGGAACCGCGCGGTCATCGTCTCCGCATAACGTGGGGCAGGATAATTTTCTCAATTTCGCCGTGTCTCTCGTGGGGTCGGTCGTTAAGGGTTCGAAGTGAGATTTTGACGGGGGGAGAGGGGGGGGAGGGTTTGAGGAAGGTTTCGGGGAAGGGGCTGGTAAGGGTTAGACCGTAAGATAGTTTGATAGGCTTGGTTGCCAGGAGACCTCTAAGGCCTTAGCCCGGCTATCTAATGCCGAGAAAGGCTACCCAGGAATACATATATATATACAAGCCCGGGCTTATAAGTGATCCTGCCTATGTACTCGCCCGCTCGCACTCGCATTATTCGCCTTGTCTGTCTATCGCCTCAACACTCGAAGCGATACGCATCAATAAGCGAGGTGATAAGAATTTAATACAAAAGTCGCAAAAAAGTCCAAGACAGCTGTTTGCATATAAAATGCGAATGCGCAACACAAAAAAAAAAATCTTTTTTTATAGGTCATGTAAAACATAAAAATTGTCAGATTTCTTCAACTATTTTAAAATCAACTTTCTATTTTTTAACATTATATTCATATTTTTATAATTATGATTTTGAACTAAAATCTTATTAAAAATAAAGCAATAAAAGTAAAAGATACTCTTTCTCTCTCTCTCTCTCTCTCTATAAAAATTAGAATAAAAAAGACATTGATTAAACTGAAAAAATTAATCCGATTGACTATGAATCTCTCATGAACATCTCTATAGTAAGCGTGAGAAAATTCAATCACAATCAAACACCAGATAAGGAAAATGTCGAATAGCTGATTGTGCACCATGAACAATTGTGTGAACTGGAACAATTCCTAGGAAACTTGTTGAAGTTTCTTCACTGGAAACGTGCAAATGTTCTCCACAATCGAGCACTTCCTTCAAATGCTCGAAAAGTCGAACGGGCGAACAGATAACTGATTTCCACAATGCAAAATCGAAATAATTCAAGAAGACAAATTTATTGTAGTTAAGATGTTTTTTATATATATTCTTTCTCCTTTTTATTACATAAATCGTCCTTAAAATAATGATGGCTAGAAAAAAAATCGCCAAAATAATTTAATTATTCTAATATATTTCTTTTGAAATATTATAATATTTAAAATCTCGAAAGACATTTTGCATCGGAAAATGTAACTTTATGTAGAAGATAACCACTTCTATATATATTATCTGCAAAGAGAGTTACGAAAAATATTTTGATACGATTAACATATTCACGATTAAAAATTCTGTGAAAATTCACTCTTGTTGGTACGCAAAAAGATATTTTGTTGTCCAATGCTGGCGCAGCCAGAATGTCTGACCTCGATGCGAGCAAGCGTGACAGCTTAAGTAACGTCTCGACAGGGTTTACAGGGTTTCAGCGAGTCTTCGCTTCCTGCGAACGATTTTAGCGCGCGGGCATTAACGTCGCGTAATGTACCTCGCATGCATACCTAGCAGACAACGAGTATAAGGCCAGAGATACTCTCGCGGCCAATGGCTGAACGTGGTAGTCCTGTACAGAACAGTTTTACCGATAAGACCCGCCGTGTTTAACAGCCCCCGGCTAAAGCACCGCTCAAGCTCGCCCTCCACCTCCCCCATTGCCTCCGTTCTCCCTCCTGCCGCGCGACCCACCCCCCATGCTCATTCACCATAGAACATAGACCGTGTTATATTATATACGCGTACCTATAGGAACTACCATGCAACATCCTACGTAATCGTTGCGATCTTATAGCGATCTATTCTGAAATGTCGACAGTCCAAAGAGAAAGCGCTCGCTGAAGAGAAAATCGTGAAATCGTATGCAAATAATGTCGCAGGAAAATGAATCATCACTTGCTTTTAAAGTTACGGCAACCACTGCTTCATATATGAATTCTTTAAACAATTTTTCAAATGAGTTATTATTTCAAAAGCAAAATATATATAAAGATCTTGCGACATATTCGATGTATATTTTTTTTAAATAGCACAATTGAAATCAAGTTGTCAAAGGTAAACTAAAAGTATACGAGTTAATTATATAAAGACATGCATATTTAATCGCAAAATGTTTTCATCACTCTCACCTAAAAACCGATTTTTCAAGTTGTACGTAAAAACATTTATTCTCTATTAAAAAATAAAAATAAAAAAAAACCTTTATATACGAGTACTGCATCACGCATGCAAAGCGCCCGGCAAAAGACGGGACACGTGCAAAAAAGCGCCAGCAGAGAACATTCAAGGTTACGCGGCGTGAAGTAGGGGATGAAGAAAAAAGAAGATACGAGGAAGCTTTCGGGCAGCATTCGAGATACGTGTAGCGGTCTCCGGGAGGGCGCAAGAAACCACCTTAGTGCCGGATCAATAGAAGAAGGGGGGTCGGTATGCTCCTACCATGAAGGGAGCGGGAGGGGTGGCCGAGCTACACAGAAAGAGAGGGAGAGAGGGAAGAAGCGAAGAGGGTAACGACGGCGAGGGTGGTAAACGGGAGGAAAAGCGGGGTGGCGGGGAGACGAAGTGGAAAAATCTTAGGTTCCCAGCACGAGGAGAGACCGTGCGGGGAGAGTTCGTATCGGTGGGGGTAAACCTTAGACAAGAGGCGTGGTCTGTACGTCGTTCTCACCCCACGGTTTTCCACCGAGAAGCAACCCTTATCGCCGACGTGGAAGCCACCATGGACGTCGGTTACGACGATCGCAGAGGAACACACGCATAGGTGGCGGGCGGAAAGATGCCGCTTGCGGAGAATCCGCCGGATTTTCATCTTCTTAACACTCTCTCACCATCCTCCCCACCCCCTCATCCCATTCTCGCATCCGCGTCCGTCCATTCCCGTATGGACACACTTCTTTCCTCACATACGTTTCCCCGTCGGAACCGAGCCGCATTCTTCTTCCTCCTCGATCTCCTCATTCGTCTCGTTTCTTCTCCCGAAATAAAGATCGATAATGACGAAGCATTTGCACGACGGCGACAATAATAACCACGACGATGACATTTTAACGACGAAAACGACAACGATGATGATGAAGACGCGAACCGCGGACGAACAGTATGTCCGTGACGAACGAGAGCCGCGCAAGCAGAGCTTTTTTATCGGGCAATGGGTAGACGAACCCCGAAGAGTGAAACGAAACTCGTAGCGGCCGTGCTTTTTTACGGCGCATGCGGCTATTCCGTGGGAAAGCCGGTGGTGGGGTTGAAAGAGAATCGAACTCGCCGCCCGGTTCACCCTTCTTCCCTCTCGCGCACGTTGTACGTTCGGCGTTTATTTTCCGGAGAAAGTGAACGAGATACGATCGATTCATCGGCCGTGAGATACGCACCAAAAAAAAAAAGAATATTCAGACGCGATTTTTCGCAAAATAACTAGATAACTTATTGATAATACAAAAGAAGATAAAACTAGAGAATATTACAAACTTTTTCCTCAAAATATTTAACAAGAATTTAATTATTTTATATATACGAATTATATACTATGTATAGACAGATT